GGCCTTTAGGTTAAAAAGGGGGGGGGGGTGGTTTCCATGAACATGTCCTGCCTCAGAGTCTCTGATCTTGCTATTCTGTCTAGAATTCCACCACACCCCTGGGCTATTCACGAAGCCCTCTGTCCAGCATGAGCTGCTTCTGTCTAGAGAGGTATGCCATTTCTTTCACTAAACAGCACTGCCAGCTGACCAAGTAATGGGTTTCAGGATTGGCACTTTCTGGAAAAGAAACATTTTTCTAATCAGTCTCGATAGGGAGTTTTTATCAACTTTCTCTCTAGAAGGTGTTTTCTGATATGCACTAAAGAACCTAGAGGCTCTTCATTCTCTTCAGGCCTTTGCTCAACTATCACCTCTACAGGGAGGCCTTTCCTTACCACTCTTGAACAGTCCCCTCCACCCTGTACATACTGCCCTTTGTGTAGAACCTCCCTGCACCACTAGAATGTGACGTCATGAGGGCAAAGACTGTGTCTTAGGTACAGATGTGTCTTCAAGACCTGGCACATGATGGTGCTTAATAAGTTATTGACTGAATAAATGAGTGAAATTAATATGGTTCCAGTGAAACAAGCTTCCAACCGCTGACGGACTTCCTGGGTAAACAGGCAGTCTTCTTGCCATACTGTTCTCACATGTTCCTCCAGGTTTCTCACTTCTCTCCAGGAAATGTCTGCATGAGGGGCTCGTGAAAGACAGAGGACACACTCTGAGGTGGGATACAGTCAAGTGGGCCCACGTGCCTCAGTATTTTGACCAGAGAAATGCTCTTCTGGTGATCTGAAAGGGCTTTATGGTTTATAAAGGCTAAAGCAGATCTCCCTATTAAAGACATGAGAAGGACTTCTCTCCCTCCTAGATGTTAAACACAATCAGACTCCCAAGAGAGTCAGTTCTTATTCAAGGCAGATTTTAGTCACCAACAAGAAGAGAGTCTTGGTAGTCATTGATTGTGAAGATATGCCACGGTTCCTCACCTTGCTCTGAAAATCCACCATTCTATTTCCCTTCCAATCAAACAGTTATGGGACCAAAAGGAAAACATGGTTTGATGTCTACCAAGAGGTAAGAGATTTGATTTATTTACTTTTGGATGTTTCCTGCTTTGAAGAAGAGTTACTGAATTGCACTGAGATGGGTCCACAAAATAGTTGATCAGCACACAGACGTAGGAAGGTTAAAAGAAAAATTATTTTATTTATATATATATATATTTTTTTGAATTGAAGTTTAAGCACATAACCAGCTAGCACCAGGTGCATGCTGTCTCTGGATGATATCCTCTTCAATTAAACTTTCCTTTTTGTCTCAAGAGGTCTCAGAAAGTTCATAGAAAACACACATTATTCAAAATTGAAAAATACATGGACTCCAAACTTTTTGCAACCAAATTAAACTTGTTATTGAATAAAAAGTAATAGGTGATAAGAAGTATAAATAATTTATTAACAATAATTACACATACACTCTAGTCCACTGTATAAAATTTTGAGGGTGACAACAGTGCTGTTATATACTACATTTATATGTATATTTGATTCCCATGGGTGCCTCATAGAAATTTTGACTTTTTATTTATTTATTTTTGTAGACAGGTTTTTGCTATAGGGCACGTGCACTCGCCAGAAAGAGAGACAGAAAGTGAGAAATCATGCCCCGGGGAGATGGCCACGCCACTATCCCTTTCTCCTCCATTCTCTTCTCAGGATCTTGGGCATGGATGCACACATGCCTGGCGTGAGTTTAAGCCACTGGGTCCGAGACATGGTCAACTACGTGGGAGTCCAGTGATACAGCCATTATGCCAACTGCTGGTCCCGAATTATGACTTATTATTGACTAAAACATAGTCACCCCTTAAAATGCACCAAATAATAGACTGCTGTTAGATCTAGTAAGAAAAAATTTTAAATAATTTATATTAGTCCTTCCTCCAAAATTCTTTGGACAAAAAGAAAATTCTTAAGAAGAAGCACAAACTAGGTAAATTTTATGCATTTTTTTTGAAATAAGCTTCATAATTTATCTCTGAAAGTAGAAAAAAAGATGTGTTATAGAATTTTAAAAGCTAAGTTCATTTTTCAAAACAACTAACTAGAGGTCAAGTTAATGATTTGTCTGATGTTATCTGGCTAATCAGCGTCAGGATCACTCAGGATTTTAACGCTTCTCAAATTTTTCTCACAGTATCTCACATCTTGTCCATGGTATTTCTTCACCATGGATCCTTATACTTCATTTTTTGAAGAAATTTTTCATTTAAGACTTCAGAAGTTCCAACATGAGAGCAACTCCACTAATCTCACATATGTAGACAAAACTTTACTGCTAAAAAAGCATTCGTATTTTTCTTGTATCTTTGTTCTTTCATCCTTTGTGCCTTATAAATCCTATCTCAGACTAATATATGTCTCTTTTAATCCTATCACAGATAACAGAGCTCAGAGAAAACCTCGTAATGGATGGACCTGCAAATGCGTGGCTCCAAACTCATCTGAGTTCTGAGCCTCAGCCATCAATCACTCTTCCTGAATTTCTTTAGCTGCCTCTACCAATTACTACAGAGAGTATTTCAAATCTCTGTTATTCTCCCCTAAACTTCACCCGATGACCACTCTCAGCTGACTCTGTCTAGCCTTACAGACTCCTTTATCAAGAAAATTCAAACTCACTCCCTCCCTCTACATCCCGTCGCTTCCTTTAAGCTTATGGCTGTACAAAGCAATGGGTTCTTCCCTTCTATTTGAGAGTTTTCTAACTGTTCAACATCAGCACTCCTTTAATTCATATCACTTTTTCCTATCTCCTCTTATCTCCTCTTGTCTTCACACTCCTCTTTATGAACATTAAATTTCTGCCTCTATAAGCTCCTTCTAAGCAGTATAGGAACGTATTCCCATATATTGAAAATAATCATTTTATGTTAAAAAAATCCTTGAACATTTCAGCTTAGAAATAACATGTTTTGTGCTAAAGAGATGAAGAGATGTAGCAGCACTATGTTCTGATCCCAAACTTAATAGCTGTGTGACCTTGGTAAGTTATCTAATGACTGGTTCTACTTAGTTCCCTTGAGGTACATGTTGGTTGATAGTGCAGACACCATACAGAATGACAGAAGGTGGCTGCAGAATAGCTGGGAGAACCGAGCCAAGATTTCAACTATTGCCAACTGCAAGGAAACAGAGTTTAGAGGATAAATCTAATCAGATTAACTACTTACTAGAACCAAATACCACTCTCCACAAAATAAAATCCAGAGTATGTCCATATGATTGTTAATGTCCACTATACAATAAAAAATATTAGGCATGGAAAGAAGTATTTAAAAAAACTATCCATTGTCAACAGAAACTGGGCTCAAGATGATCTATAGTGGAATTAGGAAACAAAGACTTTAAAGCAGCCATTTTTCGAAGAAAGTGTGGTACAATACATGAAATGAAGAGGAACCTTGGCACAGAAATTGAAACAAAAAGAACCAAGTAAAAACATCTAGAATCGAAAAGTATAATATTTAAAATGAAAAACAAGTCCACTGAATGGGCTTAGCAGCAGATTTGAGAGAGGAAATAAAAAGGACATCAAATTTTAAAATAGAGCAAAAGAAAGTACCTAATTTTGAAGAACATAGAAAAAAATCTATTTAAAAAATTAGCAACATCGTAGTGATCTCTAGGACAATAAAAAGAGATCTAAATTCCATGTAACTAGAGTTCCAAAAAAGAGAAGAAAGAGAGACTAGTAAAGAAAAATATATTTGAAAAGGGGCCAGCAGGTAATGTGTTAGTTGGGGAGCTGGATTCTTCACATGGCCAACCACGGTTCAAGTCCCAGAGCTGGTGGCTTGCTTTCTCATGTTCCCACTCTTTCTATGTCTCTATCTGGTGCATGCATTTGCCCTATAGCAAATTAAAAAATAATAAAATAATTCTTTAAAAAAGAATATTTGAGAAAGTGATAAAAATCATAAATTTGGCATTAAAAACAAACTTACAAATCCAAGAAATGTATCAATTCCTGAACAAGACAAAATAAATTATACTCACTTGCACTATAGTAAAACTTAAAACAAAGATAGGAAATAATCTTGAAAGTAGCCAGAAAAATAAAGACACAATTTATAAG